AAACAACACTGAGATTCCACCTCACCCCAGAAAGAATGGCTGCTATTAAGAAATCAACCAATAACAAATGCTGGTGGGGGTGTGGAGAGAAAGGAACCCTTCTCCATTGTTGGTGGAGTGCAGACTGGTGCAGGCACTGTGGAAATCAGTATGGAGATACCTCAAAGAACTAGAGGTCCCATTTGACCCAACAATTCCCCTGCTGGGTATCTTCCCCAAAGAATTAAAAGAATCATGCCACAGTGATATATGTGCACCCATGTTTATAGTGGCACAATTTGTAATAGCTAAAGCTTGGAAACAGCTCAAGTGCCCATCAACTGTAAACTGGATAAAGAAGATGTGGTTTTTTAATAAAAAGGAATACTACTCAGCCATGAAGAATGAGAAACTAGAGACATTTATAGCTAAATGGATGCATATTGAGGCCATACCTTTAAGTGAAATAAATAGGACACACATATGTAAATACTGAATAGTTTCTCTAATGTGAGAAAGTGAAACTGTAAGGATTAAAATGATTAAAATGAATAATTGATAATTTGAAATAGGAAAAGGTCCAAAGGTGTAGGGGTGGTGGGAAGGGAAGAGGAAAGGGGAGAATGGAAAGGAATAATCATGAGAAAGGAGAAAAAATGGAAACAAAAATCCATGTAAATAGGGAAGGGTGGAGGGGGTGAAGGGCTCACAGCTAATGGGGGGAAAGAACTAAGATATATCACATACAGGTACAAGCAACCAATGATAAATGTAAACGTATTGTATACCTAAAATGTACCAATTAAAGAATTAAAAAGAAAAAACATAATCATGATTGCAAAACAGATGCAATCCAGATATGATCTTTAGCAAATCAAAGCACCTAATTCTATATTTCCTCATATGCCCTCTCCATGAATTCTTCAAATTACATTGATCACATAGTTGATATTGCTAGAAGCTGTATCTTAAAATGCAGTTTGGCTCAGTAATAATGGAGCTTTTGCAGGTCATTACAAGGAACCAATGAACCTAAAATATTGCTAACAAGATATCATAAAACCATGAACTTAATTCTCTGTAAATCTCACTGCAAATGGCAAATATCCTTGACAGTGAAACTGGCATTAATAAAGCCACTGCCCTGTCCCCCTTTATAGTAAACACCACGGAGGATAGAAAGACATACAAAGTAGTAGAGGAGCTTACTAGCTTGGCACATAAGGTAAAAATTAAACACATAAAACCATCAGAGTGCCAAGAATAGCAGTGATACTTAATTTTTCAATTGTTTCCTATGGTTTGCAAGTGTATGTATAACCTTTGAGAAAATGTGTGCACCCATAAGATATGAGACATTTCTACATACCAAAAAGGTTCAAAGGTAAAATCACTTCTAAAAGTTTGTTTACATCTGAAAATTTAACTCTAATGAATCATCTTTATTATCCCCCAAGGAAATGTTCGAAGTAAATAATCCTTAGACATGAGCCCAATAAAAAGTGCACTGATAAATGATAAATGGCCTTTGTTACAGCTGTTCTACTTACGTTGTATGTGATCAATGGGTCTCATAAAACCATGCTCCAAATCACTGCCTTCTGCATCAAAATAGAGAAACCACATATTTTTGAGGTTGCTTTTTTGGTGTCAATATCCAAAATATATAAAGTAGCTTATTTGTCCCCAGTATTAGACATTATAGAAGTAATACATAGTTTGAAGATATTTGTCTTCTCATGAATGCTGTGCTTATTTGCAAAATGTGCTTAGTGAATGTGCCTAAAATACAATAAACTATGTGTATTCTTTATTTAATGACTCAGTCCTGTTCCTGTGATTAGGTCACTAAATTAATGGTATGCTAAAGGAGGAATTGTATACAGTATGTACTTTACAATATTCAGGACAAAGAAATGGTCAAAGGAAACTCCAACTTGGTGACTTTGCTTTCTTTTGCACAACTCTTATATGCAGCACTGTAATATATAACAGAACCTAAAACTAGAGTACTGTACTGTACAGTACAGTTAGCAAAAAATAGAGTACTGTATAAACAAAGTATACTGTACAGAAAAAGACATTGATGTTCTATCAATATGTGCAGAACTATACAAAAAAGAAAATGGGTCATAAGTCTGAGAGGAGGAAACAACATGCCTCATTTGTAATCCACACAGTCATTAAAACACATAGATCATTAAAGGAAGAATATGTATTTTGGCTTTGATGTTTCTGACTAGGTTATTCTTGAGTACTTTCTGAAGTGCTGATTTAGCATTCATTTGCCTCAAGCTGGTCTTTTTCATGAAATGTCCTCATTGCTCCATCTATTTTGAAAGACTGCTGGGTAAGTTAAACTAGGTTGGAAGTTATTCACCTTAGGGTTTAAATACATCACTGTAAGTTCTTCTGCCCTTTAAATTTTGTGTTAAGAAGTCTGTTGTAATTCTAACAAGTTTACCAGTTATAGGTGATTTTTTTCTGCTTTAAATTTTTGCTGCTGTGGGTTTTGGATATCTGACAGTAAAATGAAGATATGCCTTGTGAACTTTTTTACTTATCATAGATTTTTGGTGTTCTCTAAGACTTGCTTCTATTTTTAACTCCTCATCTTTGGGGATTTTTCTATGTTTTGTGTAAACATTACTAATTCCATCTATTTTGTCTTCTAGTGTTTTGGTAACTCCATAAGCCTTAAGTTGGTCTTTTAATGTTGTTTATTAGCTGTTGAGTAGTCTTTTCTTGTCTTTTATTGTGGTCTCTTTGAGTACGATTTGTACTCCATTTACCATTTGTCCTCAATTTCTGATGACTATTCTCCCCAAACTCCCTGGGCTGGCCATATGAGCCAGGGTGCATCCCATCATCTTTCTTGGGCTGGATACACAGATGAAGCCTGTGGCTAGGGGCATGACATTCAGATGGTTGGTTCATCCTCACATTTCCCATTCTCTTATATCTTAGAAATTTTTATATCTTTGTGACAGGTAAGCATTTCATGAGCTATAAGATAATATATCTTCCTTAATCTGATTTTATTGTTAGTATTCTCTAATGAATACTGTACTACTTTTCATTTTTGCCATTCATGAATATTACTTTGTGTTTAATTACAACTTTATGAAACTAGTTTCAAGTTTCACAATGCTATCTAAATACAATCAGGAGGAAGGGATCTATTTCTTAAATAATAATTTGAAAATAGACATATTTTCAATGTTCTGTCAGAGAAAATCATTAGATATTCATCCACCCCAGTTCTTTTTACCCCATGTTTGATCTAGTAGGCTCTCTCCATGAACCATGCTTTACAGAGAGTGTAGAAATAAAACTGGGGCCAACCAGCAGGAGAACCACTATTCCCATTCTGCTCTTTCTTTAGCAGTGAATTCCCACCTGCCATCACAGTTCCTGTGTGGCAAGTGCATGTGGATGAAGAATAAGTGTTTGATGACCAAAAGATGAAGTAAACGTCTGTGGGACTCAGCCTCATTTCAGCTTTTTATGAGTAGATTTGAGATATTTCGTGTTGTGAGTCTCACTCTTCTTCCTGGGAATATATTTCGGCTGATTTAGGAGGCAGTGACCTTTGAGGATGTGGCTGTGGGCTTCACCATGGAGGAGTGGGCTTTGCTGGATCCATCCCAGAAGGAGCTCCACAGAGATGTGATGTGGGAGAACTTTAGGAATGTGGCTGCTGTAGGTAAGCAAGATAGCATTTCTCATGTATGCAATCAGGGAGCATTGGTTATTGCCCACCAGTGCCATTTACTTTATTGGAATATGGAAGTATTTTTGATAAATCTTCTAGGCATGGTCACATTGTACCATGAATCTAATTGGAAGATAATTTTTATGTAATGTAGTAACTCATCATTACGTTTCTTTTTCTACACTTTAGGAAGAAACTGGGATAACCAGCAGCAAATTGAAGATGAGCACCAAAATTACAGGAAAAATCTCAGGTAATATGTACTAACAAGAATATTCTTCAAAGGTCAGAAATATTAAAACCAAGCAAACTACACAAATGAGAGCATGTTTAAAAAAATATAGAAAGCTAGATGTGGTGACATGTGCCTGTAATCCCAGCACTTAGGCAACTGAGTCAGGAGGATTGGTAGGAGTTTGAGGCCAGCCTGTGCTACATAGTGAGTTTGAGGTCAACCTGAACTACATAGGGAGACCTTGTCTCAAAAATCAAAAACAAACAACAAAATGAGGCCATGTTAAGATTTCTTTAATTGCACAAAATTCCTCCAAAAATGCATACATGTTTAGTATCTAGAATCTGACAATTGAATATTTGGAATGTCACAATATTTGAAATGTAGGGAGTATTGATATTATGTCACAAGTGACATTATCTAATGTATAATAACAGTTTTCCATGCTCAAGATTATAAAACTCTTACATGAAATTGTATGTATGTATTGATGAATTGTATATATAAATAAATTTCTGTTTGAGAGTCAAATGCAACATATCTAATTACATATACATCTATTTTCAAAAGACTGCTTTTTTAAATCAAATTGTGAAAGTAATGCCATATGTATTTAAATGTGGCATATTCATTCAGTATTTGCAACATTGGTAACATTGAGGAATTATTCAAAATTGAAATCAATGCCCCTGTTTTGATAATAGCTGTTTTCAAACAATCCTTAAAAGCATTTAGTCTATTTATGTTCCAAAATACAGTACTATAAGGCACTTTCTCATGTTGGTGGGAATGTCACTGTAGTATAACATCTATGGAAATGGGCTTGCTCAAAAAAGTAAAAATAGAACTTCTGTTTTATCCATCTATAATTATACTGGGTGTATTCCCCCAAAATTAAAGTAATCATATTAAATGGATACACGCATATCCATGTTTTCAGCAGTAAAACTTACAAAGTGAAAGGAAACAGTGTAGATGCCCATTCAAAGATAAGTAGAAAGGGACAATGGAATAACTTGGCCAGGATGGAACATGCATGGAAGCTGAGCCACATTCATGCTTAGCCTGAGCAACTTAGTGATTGATAAGAATCAACCTCATAATAAAAGATAAATAACTCTGAGAATGTAACTCAGTGCTAAAACCTTGGGTTCATTCTTCAGCAGAGAAAATAATAGGGTGTGTATATATAATGGGATGGTATTCAGCCATAAAGGAGAATGAAATGATGTCATTTGCCAAAAAAAAAATGGATGGATCTGGAGCCTATATTACATTAAATGAAATAAACACAGAATATTCAATATCACATGTATTTTGTATGAGAAATGCAAGATATGAATTAAGTAAAATAAAGGAGAGATGTTATAGAAAAGAGAGGAAGACATTTTGGAGAGGGTAAAGAGGCTCAGTGGAAGAGAGAGGTGTAGGGTGAGAGAAGAAAAAGGTGTGAAAAATAATCAGCATATGGTATATATATATGTACCACTTGTTCCAAATGAAAATAACCAGTATGTATTACAAACCTATCAATTCCAAACTCCCAAATGATACTGTTTTGGTAAAAGCTGTTTCTAAGCCCTCGTTCAGAATGTACAGTAAATTCATGATCAAATATGCTTAGGGGACATCAAATCAGATCTCTTCCTGGTAAATATTGCTATAAAGACATTTTTAAATGTGACTGGTGGTTTTGTTATTTTTTTTCTTTGACAGAAGTGCAGAGGTAGATAAATGCTGTCAATATAAGTTATGGTATCAATGTGGAGAGATAGTTTTTATGACTCCTGATACAAACGTGCACATGAACCTGCTTGGCATAAAACTGGGTGAAAGCCTTGCATGCAGAAAGCCTCTGATTGGTCACTCATCACCAACTGTGCCAATCATACATAACACTGGACTCCAATCATATGAACTCCATGGATTTGAACAGAAGCTGTCTAACTGTAACAGACATGGGAAAACCTCCACTGACTTTCAGTCCTTTCAGAAACATGCAGAGACAAATCCTGAAGAAAAACTTTATGGATATAAGCAATGTGCAAAATCCTACTCTGAGTGCACTGAAGGAAGTAATACTGAAGAGAAATCCTTTGTGTATAATCAAGATGTGAGACCCTTCAGTTCACCCAACTATGATAAAATCCAGGAAAGAAATGACAGTAGGGTGAATACCTATACATATATAAAATGGGGGAAAAGTTTGAATTCTCACCATGATATTCAGAAACATGAAAGAGCTCACACTGCAGTAGACTCCTATGTATACAAACACAGTTGGAAACTGTTAAATAATAAAACTTCATTTGGTAGTCATGAAAGAACTCACATTATGGGGAAACCCTATGTTTGTAAGCAATGTGGGAAAGCTTTCAGCAAACAGAGTCATTGTCAAATACATGAAAGGACTCACACTGGAGAGAAACCCTTTGTATGTAAGCAATGTGGGAAAGCTTTCAGGACACACCAGGGGTGTCAAGGACATGAACGAACTCACACTGGAGATAAACCATATGTATGTAAGCAGTGTGGGAAAGCTTTCAGGACACAGAGTACTTGTCAGACACATGAAAGGACTCACACTGGAGAAAAACCCTTTGTATGTAAACAATGTGGGAAAGCTTTCAGGACACATCAGGGGTGCCAAATACATGAAAGGATCCACACTGGGGAGAAACCGTATGTATGTAAGCAATGTGGGAAAGCTTTCAGGACATACCAGGTGTGTCAAGGACATGAACGAACTCACACTGGGGA